GCTTTCGAAGCCAGACGGACTTTCGCAACGAGCGTTCGAGGCGTTCTACAAGTACGCGACGCAGTTCTTCGTCACCGGGGATCGACTCTGGAGACGAAATGGTCAAGGCGCGCATAAGGTTGTCCTACCACCCGAGCGAAGGCTTCGAACATTACGCGAGAGCCACGATAGGATCGGACACCGCGGAATCCACGCAACGATCGTAGCAGTCTCCGAACGCTTCTGGTGGCCCGATCACAAGTCCGACGTAGGCTGGTATGTTCGAACGTGCGACCTATGTCAGAAGCGTCAGTTACGACAGATCCTCATCCCACCGACGGTCGCGATGCCAGCCGGACTATTCATGAAGGCGTTCTGCGACACGATGTTCATGCCTGTTTCGGGAGGCTATAAGCTCATAGCGCAAGCGCGCTGTTCTTCGATCACGTACCCCGAAGCCCGAATGCTTCGAAGAGAGACAGCTCAGACCCTTGGCGAATGGCTATATCAAGACATTGTCTGTCGCTGGGGCACGCTTGTTGAACTAGTCTCCGACAACGGCGCACCCTGGGTCAAGGCGCTCGAGTACCTCTCGAAGAAGTATCACATCAACCATATCAGGATCAGTGGCTACAACTCGCGAGCGAACGGTATCGTCGAACGTTCGCACTTCGACATGAGACAAGCGTTGTTTAAGGCTGCCGACGGAGATCAGTCGCGCTGGTCACAGGTCTTCCATTCAGTACTATGGTCCGAACGCGTAACAACTCGTCGAAGAATGGGATGTTCGCCATACTTTGCAGCGACAGGCACGCACCCGATACTGCCTCTCGACGTTATCGAAGCAACGTACCTTGTCCCACCACCTGAGACAGCACTCAACACTACCGACTTGATTGCACGACGCGCTCATCAGGAAAAATACTTTTGTCTTTTCTGATCTTATATAGACGGAATGTACAATTATGTAGCTGAAGACGCTTCAGACAAGTGACAAACTTATTCCAACTATTATGGTCGCAAAAAGGCCCAGTATTCAGGCTTTAGACAGGTTGCGTGAGCTTAAGACAAGAAGGAATACACTAGCTCTACGCTCTTTCTGTCCTTAGCTAACATCAGATGAAGGGCATCTTCTACATGGCTCAGCCGTCTTTTTTGTTCTTCTATTCATTCATTGCTCAGACACACTGGCCCTTTTTTGCCACCTCTGGGTATACTAGTATACATTCATATCACAGCGTAGTTTGTAGGGAGAACAGTACAGACATCACAGCAAATCATGACAGCAAGACGACGCAACAGAACGACTCTACGGTAGATAGCGACAGCATTGAGTACCTACTTTCCAAAGGTTGTGTAGACGTTAAATGGTAGCAAGTTGATTGATACCTGTGCGATTGCTCAGCTAAAGCCCTGTGCAAAGTACGTCACATTCTCACTCGCCTTTGGAAAGTTTCTGGTTCAAGTTGGTGCGTTGATGCGCGGCTTGCTTGATCAGGCGTTGTCGGCGATTGCTATCCACCCTACGTCAGTACCTGGCATGTACTTGCCGCGCTTCAATTGATTGAACACGAGAACTCACCATCCTGTTCTATCACTTCTTCACCTGCCTCAATGTCTTCGTCTTCGCCGCGTCTCTCAGCGTCGGGATCGACGCCGCTCTCGCTGCCAGTGTCTCCGCCTGCGCCTGTGCCAGCCCCCTCGCCATCACCCAAGTTGGCCCCCTCGGAGCCGTTGCCGTCACCACCCTTGACGTCGGACGTCTCAGCGATGACTGCCGCCGGTACCTTCCTGACACCCGCTGGCTTACCACCAGCATTCGCCGGTTTGCCGGAGCTTGTAGCCCTCGTACTGGCCGGTTTACCGGAGCTCGTAGGCTTCGCACTGCCAGGTTTAGCGGCGCTCGTAGGCTTCCCCGGGCTCTGAGGCTTGCCAGAAGTCGGCCTGCCAGTGGGCTTTGCCTTGCCAGACGTCGCGCCAGACGTCGCTGTGTAGCTCGGGAGTGGGATACCCCCGGGCGCGATGATGTTCGAGGGGTGGGGTAATCCGTTGCTTCGGGGGTAGAGGTGACATGGGTGGACGGCCGGGTGTACTATGAGAGTGGAGGGGAGACATGCCGGGGAGTGATCTCGCAACGACGCCTCAGGCTCGCCGACCTCGTCCTCGGTTCTCCAAGCCTCGCAAATCCCTCTGTTTCCGACTCGTTCCTTGGACTCTGTCCTGTCTCGACCTTGACCTCGTTCCGAATCTGCCTCACTCTCGCTCTGCAGTCACTACGCTTGCTGAACTCGTTCCGTGGTCGCCTCGTTCTCGTTCCGTGGTCGCCCTCCTCGTTCCGCAGGTTCCTGTGCTCGTTCCGCGAGCTCCTAAGCTAGCCCTGCTGATCCTTGTACTCGTTCCGCGAGCTCCTATGCTCGTTCCGTGAGTTCCTACGCTCGTTCCGTGAGTTCCTACGCTCGTTCCGCGAGTTCCTACGCTCGTTCCGCGAGCTCCTAAGCAAGTCCTGCTGATCCTTATACTCGTTCCGCGGGGTCCTATGCTCGTTCCGCGAGGTCCTAGGCTCGTTCTGCAAATCCCTGTACTCGTTCCGCGAGTCCTCGTCCCCGATTACGTGGCGCTGCGTTCGTCCGAAAGATTCTTGATAGCCCGAGTAGATCACTGATGACCAACTCGGGGAGATGCCCTCAGCTCCAGAAAATGTGATAAGAATGGATGTGAGCCAGGCTCGCAGCCGTAGATTCGGAGTGGGGAGAACTAAGGTATGTACATGTCTTCGTGGCACTCTATGCCGCGAAAGCTGACTAAGAGTCCGTAGTTACTATATATGGTAAGTCAAACGAAATCGCACCAAGTCCAATGTGTACAGTATGCATAGGGTTTCGGAGGGAAGGCAAGGAGCTGTCCTTATGCTCGGAGGGAACGGCACTGCTCGGAGAGAGCTGAATGAGAGAAATACGTACTGTCCGGCCCTATGTGGGAGGCACTCCCCACATCTCCCCCATACTCGAATTGTGACCGTCCCCGGTCACCCACTCAGGCTGCGGCAACACTAACCGAGAGCAATCCACTGCGACATGAATGTCGCCAGTCCGCCCGCTTCACGGTCCTCTATATCGCATCCCCAAGTTCCGCCGACGCCGTCTGTGCGATCCTCGTCCTCGTCGAGCCAACCGCAGTCTCGATTCGCCTGGGTGATCGCCCTCTCCGCGACCGCACACGGTAGGTACTCGACAATCCACTGCCCGTAGTTGTCGAGGTGGCAACAGCTAACCAGCCCGTCATCATGTGCTTCCTCCGGGGTGTTCAGCTCGGCCGACTCAACGAGTAGGCACTCTCGCAGTCCACGTTCTCCCACATCGACCACCCTGTCCGGCTGACCGCCAGGTCTACCTCCTCTCCGAGGCTCCCCCATACTCGGATTCGCACTCTGTGGTTGCTCACGTTCCGCTGGACCGCACGCCTTCGGGTCTCCTCGGCCGCCTGCTTGCCCCGTCTCGCACTGCGTCGAGTCCTCGCTCCTTGGGCTATCCGAGACCTCTACCCCGAGTCGTATGCGCTCGCGTACCAGGAACTGCGCTAACCATGTGTTCCGCTCGGTGTCCTTGTCAACGGTGCGTGTGTCGTCCTCGCGGGTCCATTCCTCTGTCTGCTCAACTTCGCGCAGAGCGGCCTCGGCTTCGGTTCGCGGAAGGTATCCCCATAGCCGCCGCCCGTCCTCCGCAATGTGCCAGCATGCGATGAGGTCATCCTCGGGTGTATCGGCGTCGAACTCGCCAAACTCACCCAGCAGCCAGGCATCCTCAGGTACGTCTTGACTCGCAGACTTGGGCTCGTAGCTATCCGTCCTAACCTGTGGACCATCCGCGCCGTGTCCCGTTCGCGGTCCCTGCCACGGTTCAATCGGTGGGTCATTGGCCCTACTGACTTTCGTGCCGCCTGTGCCCTCAGGCGTGTAGCTCGGTTGGTCGGTGGTCACGTCCTGTTGTTCCTCGTGCGTGGATTTCGGCAGTTTCCCCCCTCCTCGTTTCGTGTCCTCCTGATCATCTCCATCCTCGCGGTTCCCCTTCTGCCGTGTCGTAAGCCGCCGGACGTCCTTGTCGCGACTCCCCTTACTCCACTCGAGGCTCCCGAGATGTTCCCTCTCGCTCCGCATGGGTGCTCCTTGTCCTGTCGTACGTCGACGCCCTGGTGAGTTGCCTGGATCCTCCGAGGCGCTCACGAGCTGACAGATCTCCGTGAACCCCACCAGTAGTACCGCGTCGCCTTCGCTACCCTGCTGCGTGTTCCCACTCGTCCGTTCGCGCTCGGAGCGCGCGATGTCCTTTTGCGTGCTCGACAACCCTTTCACTGCGGCTGTCCGCCTCGTCGCCCCCCACGTTTCGCCACGGCCGGTGCGTTCATCAGTCCACTCCCCCATACTCGGCTTGAGACTCGCGCCCTGGTTCGCCTTGCTACCTTCGCACACGAGCGTATCTGTCCGGTGTCCTTGCCCCGGTATGTCTGCGGAGTCCGTGAACCGTTCATTTTGCTTGCTGATCTCGACAAACAGCGATTGTAGCACCGGTTCGCTACCACCGTCCTTGCCCGTGATCTCGCACCCGCCGCGCCCATACTCCCTCCGTGTGCGTGATGTTTCTTCTGCCATGCGTCGCTGCCACGAAATGTCTAGTACGTCCCTGAAGGAGTTGGTCGACTGACTGATCTCAGCGATCTTGACCTGCCAAGCCGCGTCGCCACCACCCTCCTCTGTGTGCGTGCGCGTTTCCTCACGCCTGGTGCGTCCGTCTTCCCTCCGCGTGCCTGATGCTGCTCTCCCTGACGCTTGCCAGCCCCGCCTTGTCTCCCCACGGGTCTCGCTATCGCCAGCGCATCCGCCCTCGAGCTCCCCTTTATTCCGCTTCGAGCTCGCCCCCCGGTTCGCCTCGTCACGACCATGTACGTGTCCATCTCCCTCCCCCCGTCGCCACGGTATGTCCTTCGTGTCTGCCCAGAGTTCGCTCGGTTGGCTGATCTCGAACAAGTTCACTTGCAGAACTGCTTCGCCATCGCCATCCTTCATGCGCTCGCCCGCATTCCTACGCTGGGTACGTCCGTTCTCTCCTGGTGTGTGTGTCGATGTTCTTACTTGACCCTGTCGTCTCGCAACCTCCCGCATCTCGCTAGGTTCAGTGTTTTCGTCCGCCGGCTCGGGATCCCCATCACTCGCCAGCAAGCTCCTCGCTTGGTTCGTCTCGCTGTGCGTCCGTGCTGCCCCCTGCGCCGCAGAACGTTCTGGGGGTACGTCTGCTAACTCCACGAGACCTCCAGTTCGCTCATTGACCTCGTCCTGGTTCCTCTGCAGTAGCATGACTGCGGACTCGCTGCCCTGCATGTGCTCTCTCATTCCGCCATGCTCGGTCCGCGTGTACTTGCTTTGCATGAGCGATGATATCCCTATCGCAGGAAGGGTCCCGCGACGGCCGACGCGCTCGTGATTCGTCTCGCTCGAACTCAGCTCCAAGTCAGTTGCGCCCAAGCACCGCACACTCCCCGCGTAGGCATTCCCTCCGGCGAGGTCCTCGTCTTGTCCCTGCTCGCGTTCCTTGTGCCCCGGACCGTCTCCCGCACACCTCTCAACTTCGCTTCGCTGCGACACGACGTGGCTTGATCCAGCCCGCGGCGCGTCCTTGCCTGTCGCCTCCCTATCCTCATCGACTCGGCCCCTGGTCTTCATCCCGCTCGGTAACTGCTGCTCGCCACCATCGGATTGTCCAACCGCGGTGTTCGCCCGTCCCTGGTCTAGACTCGTTGCAGGGTCCCCGTCTGGATGTACGCGGCCTTCTGGCTCTGACTCGGTTTGTTCGCCGCTCAGCTCCCGGCCTTGCATGTAGTGGGCATTCGCGACGGCCTCACCATCGCCTAGCTCGCCACGACTCGCCGCTTCTGAGAGGTCTGACACCGACCTTCCGCCGTCAGATACTCGCGCTCTGCTCGTCGACTCCTCACGGTCCCCGCCCTGCTCGCTCTCGATACTGATGCGGCCATCTACCGCAAGTACACGGCGCCCGACATCCCCACTCTTCACCTGCGTGGCGACTTGCGGCCCGCCTAACTGCCCCAGTTGGCCGGACGCCGGCTCGTCGCACCCCGACGGTGTTCTAGGTTCGACTCGAAGTTCTATAGTCCCAACCGCCTCGCCGCACTCGGTGTCCGCGTGAATGGACTCCGTGTCCCCCTTACTCAGTCCGAGACCTTTCCACTCGTTGTCCTCGGCACTGGGAATACCGACGCTTCCCTCCGCAACGACTTCGGGCTCTACTGCTGCACACAGCCTGCGATCTCCCTCCTTCCGCCGACACTGCGCCCGATCGACCTGCTCTCCCTCTGTGGCCCTGGTTCGCTCTCCTTCGTCGCTTGTTGCGCCGCTCACGTCTGCCTTCGGCAGACACTTGGCTCGCCACTGAGTCGTCTGCCTTCGATCATTCGGAGCTGTACAGGTCCCCGCGTGTGCCATCCTCCTCGGATCGCTGGGATACCCCCCGTCGCCTCCTGTAGCGGGTGTCGCTAGATGATGTTGCGTGCGAACAGGCCCCTCCGCGACTCGAGAGACTAGCAGCCCAGCAGGGAACTGCGCAGGCCCTGGTTCGTGCAATAGAGTGGCCGTCGCCATGGATCCTTTCTTGCCCAGCTCGGCCTCCTCCGACTGCTCCTTGACGCGGACCTCGGCATGCTCGCCGTCGGCAGTCTTATGCCTTCCCTCCGGAAGCACGGGCATGCGCATAGGACTGGTCGCTCTATACGCCCATCTCTCGAGGCCTTCCTCATCCCTGGTTCTGGCCAGCTGCCCGCGTCTACGCGTCTCGTCTGCGTGCTGCCGGCGGACGTCCCGGCAACCGACTGCTCTGAAAACCCGTCTCACGGCCTCCATGCACGCTCCGACCTGTCCTTGTTCCCTCCGGCGGCCCGCGTCGAAGCCGGCGTACACTTTCCCGCCTCCGGGTCTGCCTGCCAACGACTTGCTAACACCGCTCAGTGCGACTGCCGGGCTCTCCATTGCACTCCCCAAAGTTTCCTGGGCTCTCGCTCGCGCCTTCTTGCTGGTACTACGGTGCGCGCTCCCTCCGCAGTCGACATGTTCCTCCTCCGTGGAAGTACCTCCGCACAGTCGTGTTCCCTCCGCAGTCCGCTCCCGCAGCTCCAAGTCGTCACCTCGGGCTACAACCTCTTGTCTCACAGCCTTCAGTCGGTCCTTGAACTCGCCTCGTCCCTTCCGGTTGGGCACATCCTTGAATCCCGCCCTTGTCGCGCTCGCAATTACTCGACTCGCACTCCGGTCCGCCGCGCTTCGATCTCCTTCTTTCCTTCCATGCTGGGTGCTTTGCTCGCCTAGCCGCACGTCCGCCCAATCCGCGTCCGCCCGCTCTCGGTCCTGAGCTTCGCTCGCAGTTCCTTCCGCGACGTGGTTACCGGCAATCGCTGTGAGTCTCGCACCTCGTCGCGTAAATCCTCCCGTTGACCTGTGTCCGGACGTTCGCGTTCCTTCCGCTCGCTCCTCCCGTACCTCCCGTTGGCCGACTGGACTTGCAGTCCATTGTCTCGATCCGTCCAGAGACCCATCTCGCTCTCGCTCTTCCCTCCGGCGCATGTCCTTCCCGAAACTCGCCCGTTCCACATCCTCAGCTGCTAGGCCATCCGTGGCCTCTCTTCTGTACACGCGTCCCGCTCGTACCCGGCTATCTCGTTGATCCGGAGTCTTCTGGAGGGGAGCGACCCATGGCCCTCGTTCCTGCGCCTCGTCCCCATCGTCCCTCTCGACGCTCTTGAACTCGCCGCCTGCCTGTCCCCCTGACGCTCCGCTGCTGGAAGTTAGACGGCACGCTCGTACGTCGCGGTACAGCCCGCATTCGCCACCCTGTGACTGTCTATGGTCTCCTTGACCAGCGATCCTGTGCGTTCTCCGACACATGTCATCTTGGAAGCTCGTCCTCGCCGCATCTGTAGCTGCTTGACTCTCGGCACTCTCCTCCTCGCATCCAGTTCGCCTCGACGCGACGTACCGACACGGGATGAATAGGGAGTAGGTGCGCCATGGCTCTCGCGCGTCCGTCGTAGTTCGATCTGCTCGCCTGTCGTAGTTAGTCTCACAATCGATGTTCTTGACCTCGACCCCCCGAACAGCGCTTCGTCCTAGTCGAATGCCCGGCCATGCGAGTATTCTCTCCGGCGTCCTCCTCGCAGTCTCCGAACTCGCCCGCTGGCGTCTGCCCGGACTCTCATCGATATCCGCGCCTGCTGGATCGTGCTCCTTCAGTCGCGAGTATTCCGGAGACTCACTTGTGCCGAGAGTCGCCCGTCTCTCCGCCCTCTCAGGTTGACCTCGTTCGTCTGCGCGATACTCCGAGAACGCGTGGATATTCGGCGCACCACTGAATCGCTGGCTACGAGCGTTCGCTTCACGTCGATCTGGGTCTACTGGGTCTTGGACCTCACGCGCCGTTTCTTCCGAGCCCGATCTTGCCATGGGGTGACCGTGGACCGCCGCTAGGGTTCTCGCGCACTTCCAGAGAAAAACATGCCCACAAGGGCGACTAGTATTGACGAGACGCGGGAGTGGAGAGAATGTACGTGCCGACTCAGCGGCCTGAGCGACCAGCGAGCCGCCAGTAGGCTGTGCAGACCGTGGTTCCGGCGCTTGGGCGATCGTCCCTCGCCTCAGTCCTTTCTCTACCGACTCTGCCTGCAACTGCTTGTGGTCCTCGCTCCGGATCTCGTCGTACTTCCTCTCGTCCATCGCGATCACGCTCTCTTGTTGAGCTCTCGCCACGTCAGCACGCTCCCGGCCGCACTCGCATCCATCGCCGCCCTCCTGCGTGCCCGAAAGAGGCGCGTCCTCAGCTCCGAGCTCGAATGCGCTCGTCGCATGCTCCCCCGCACGCAAGACAGAATTCGCGGAGGTAAGCGGGCATTCTTGGTAAGGGTGGGCTGTGATGCAGTTCCTACAGGTGAGTGTCACCTCCACTGTCCGAGATACGTCCTGTCTGAACACCTGCGCTTCCTCCGCCCGTCGCTCCCGCGGCTCGCGTGTATCAAGCTCTCTTGCCATCGCGCCGTCCCACCCTAAGGTAACGTCCAAGACATCTGACGCGTGGCCCGCCTCCGTCTGCATACACGATGCGCCTCGTGGAATTGACTTGATGCCTTCGATTTGCGAGGGGAGTGGACGGCTTGTCGTAGGGGTTCGTCCGGTATATCTGTCCTCTATCGCCGTCGCAACTCGCCTGGACACCCGTGACACCCCTACAGCTCGCTGATGTAGCGGCGGCCGATTGTTTCCGAACCTGAGGACTCGTCCTGCCGCTGCCCAGGATTCTCCGACCTCCGTCTGCTCCCTGTCGCATGTCCTACTGGCTGCACTCGGTGCCTCGCCGCCCGTGATTCTCTTCACCTCACCACCTAGCTTGCTGTTCAGACCGCGGCCTTGCGCAGTACGCGTCGCCGCACGATCCTTGCATGCCTGCCCCGCCCGCCATGATTCTTGTGCCTGTGTCCTCAGCTCGTCTCGCTCGTTCGACGCCTCGCCTGTGCCGTATCCAGGTATCTCCGTTCTTCCGTTCTTCCCTCGTTCGATGACGCTTGCACTGGAGTACTCATAGGTCCGCACTTGATCAACGCCGTGTGGCACATCCGGTCCTCCTCGATCTCCTCGTATTGACGCCAGTACCTCGCCGAACGAAGACGTTTGTCGGCTACCGACCACTGCAAGGCACGCGTCGCTCGCCGTATCGCTTCCGCCCGTGAGTCCGACCTCCGCAGTCATACCTTGCACCTGCTCTGATGCTCGCGTTTCCATTCCAGTCCGCTCCTCGGGTCGCTGGTCCTCGTCCCCGACCACAAAGACTCGTTTCGGCACCGCCAGCAACTTTCCGACCTCCTCTCTCTCGGCACCGTGGCGATGCACCTGGTACTCGCGGTAGTCTGTCGTGTACGTCCTCGTCACAGCCTCGACCTTGGCCCATGACGTCCGCTGGCCTGACCCCCGCGCGTGCCCGTCTTGCGTACACAGATCCTCGTATTCGACGCTAGTGACGGTCGTTGGCCCCGTTCCCTGAGTCCCATGCTCGCTTGCTTGGTTACTCGCCGGACTCCAGGATCTGCCGGTTGAACGTTCGCTCCGGCTCTCGTTTCCTGACCTCTCAAGTGTCCTCAGGTTGACGTTCCCTTGACAGGCCCCGACCCTTGAAGTCGCTCGCCTATCTTCCGTCACGACACGCTCGTATACGCTGAACTGGTGCAGTGATGTTCGCCTAGCTGGTTGCTCGTGTCGCCCTCTGCTCGCCACTGCAACTCCTTCCGACCTGTCGTACTGGTGCGCCGTCGATTGCTCCGAGTTCGCGCGACCAACAGTCGTGTCCGAAGGTACTGCGTCGCTGAACTGTGTCGCCTTGATCCTAGCGAGTCTATCTCCCGCGGGCTCGTCGACTCGCTCAAACGCCCTTGCTGTGAGTCGAAATACTTCGAGGAAGAGGTCGTCGAGTGAACGTAGACTGTTGTCCGACGTGCCTGTAGGCACCTGTGTCATAGAGCTTGCATTACCCATGTACACTTCCCAGCTACTTCCTCTACCCATCGTGTGTCGCCTTCCCGAGACGGCAGTTACACCTCCGTGCGTGCCTCCAGATTGCCCGCGAATCCTGAAATCGTCGGTGCTCGCGTTCATCCCGGGTCTCGTCGTCACGGTGAGGCTCTCGTGCGGGGTAGTTCCTTCGTGTTTCCCTGCCGTAAGACTTGCTACTCCATTCCAAAACTCGCGAAGCGTGAGTCGGCAGCCTCGGTGAACATGCGAGCGTACGGTGACGTGGGCACCCGAGTCGGCTGTCCTGCCAGTACCGCGAGAGGTGTCCTCGACTAAGTCGCTGCCCGTACGCACAGGAACTGGCTGAGCTGGTCGAGTTTCGTGAACGCTGCGGCTCCGCATAGGCTCCGTGGACTGGGCAATGGTGCTGCTTGCGACGGATATGTGCGTTGCGAGACAGTCGTCGCCTACATGTCCCGTCATTCGCTCGAAGCTCACCGCCGCGCGTCCCGTGGCTCGTTCGCTCGTCTGGGTTGCAGATGCTGACGCCGTGAAGAAGCCGTTGAGTGCGTACGTGCTGTCATCTCCGAGACGACTACTCTCCCACTCCGTAATAGACTTGAACCGTACCGTTGCGCCGGTTGATCTCGCGACCACGTCCGCTTCGCGCGCCAGTGTGGATTCCGCATGCACTGTAACAGTGGACTGGTAATGGAGGTGGAAGTAAATGTTGGCTCGCCTGTGCACAGTCTCCGTAGTGACCCTGGCCGTGTCTGGATCGCGCGCGAGCCCGAGTCGTTCCGCATGTGATGTACTCGTAGTAGATGGGAATGAATGGATTGGATTGTGTATGCTCGCCTGTGCTGTGGGTGCGATGACGCGAAGCCGTAGGCGGAGCGGAAGAAGCATGAATAAGGTACCACCCCTCGCGGTGGGCTCCAGTTGTGTAGCTCGGGAGTGGGATACCCCCGGGCGCGATGATGTTCGAGGGGTGGGGTAATCCGTTGCTTCGGGGGTAGAGGTGACATGGGTGGACGGCCGGGTGTACTATGAGAGTGGAGGGGAGACATGCCGGGGAGTGATCTCGCAACGACGCCTCAGGCTCGCCGACCTCGTCCTCGGTTCTCCAAGCCTCGCAAATCCCTCTGTTTCCGACTCGTTCCTTGGACTCTGTCCTGTCTCGACCTTGACCTCGTTCCGAATCTGCCTCACTCTCGCTCTGCAGTCACTACGCTTGCTGAACTCGTTCCGTGGTCGCCTCGTTCTCGTTCCGTGGTCGCCCTCCTCGTTCCGCAGGTTCCTGTGCTCGTTCCGCGAGCTCCTAAGCTAGCCCTGCTGATCCTTGTACTCGTTCCGCGAGCTCCTATGCTCGTTCCGTGAGTTCCTACGCTCGTTCCGTGAGTTCCTACGCTCGTTCCGCGAGTTCCTACGCTCGTTCCGCGAGCTCCTAAGCAAGTCCTGCTGATCCTTATACTCGTTCCGCGGGGTCCTATGCTCGTTCCGCGAGGTCCTAGGCTCGTTCTGCAAATCCCTGTACTCGTTCCGCGAGTCCTCGTCCCCGATTACGTGGCGCTGCGTTCGTCCGAAAGATTCTTGATAGCCCGAGTAGATCACTGATGACCAACTCGGGGAGATGCCCTCAGCTCCAGAAAATGTGATAAGAATGGATGTGAGCCAGGCTCGCAGCCGTAGATTCGGAGTGGGGAGAACTAAGGTATGTACATGTCTTCGTGGCACTCTATGCCGCGAAGCTGACTAAGAGTCCGTAGTTACTATATATGGTAAGTCAAACGAAATCGCACCAAGTCCAATGTGTACAGTATGCATAGGGTTTCGGAGGGAAGGCAAGGAGCTGTCCTTATGCTCGGAGGGAACGGCACTGCTCGGAGAGAGCTGAATGAGAGAAATACGTACTGTCCGGCCCTATGTGGGAGGCACTCCCCACATCGCGCTTGTAGTTGCCTTGCCGGGCGTAGTGGCAGCAGGAGTTTTGCTTGACGGCTGTTTGGCAGTCTGCGAGAGGCTGGTAGGCGTGCGAGCGATCGCTTTTCCCGTAGTCGTAGTCGACCTCATGCCGGCACCACTCGACGATCCAGCTGCAGAGGCTCCGGATTCTCGAAGCTGAGCCACAGGGATGAAGCTCTCTTGCTCATCATCCTCTTCTTCTTCAACAGCAGCCGGACCTGTGCTGAGACGACTCCTTTGCACGGAGAGTTAGCAATGGTTCATGTGGTACAGTAATTACCTTACTTCACCCGTGCCCATATTATCCGCCGTGTCTCCTCGTAGTAGGGACGTGCATCGCTTCGCAGGGTTTGAAGTATGGCCATGAGTGCGTCCCACCTAAAAGCAGAACGAGTGAGTATATAAGCTGTAAGACGCTGTCAGAAGACCACTCACTTGGGCGCGAATTGCTTGTTAGAAAAGAAATTTGCCTGTCCTCCCGTCGCGACCTCCATGAGCGCAGACTCAACCTGCGCCATTATTGTTGTGTGTGCGTTGTATTCACTCATAAGCGGACGGAACTTAGCAGAGAAAGTGAAAGCTTACAGCGTTGCACGTTAGCGCGATCAGATTGTCAGGGACTTTGCTGAAGTCGTCGAGCGCAGCGCTCAAACTCGCTTCCCCGCGCCCGGCCAGGCCCCAGTGCTGGTAGATGAGTTCTGAGATGGACTCATTACGGAACGGCTCCAAACGGTTGACCGCGCTCAGCTAACAACATCAGTTAGTTCGAAGATCTGTGAGTGAACAAGTTACCTGACCTTCC